TGACAATTGCAAGTGTTTGGCACAATGGTTGGATAAAGATGAAGTGCTGAAACACAGTCCAAAACCGAATAGTCATCAGGAAAAGCTAATGGTGTCTACTTGGTGGTCCATCGCTGGGGTATTATCCACTACAACTTCATGAAACCTGGTCAATCGATTATAGCAGATGTCTACTGCAACCAATTGGACAAAATGATGAGGATGCTTGCAATTAAGCAGCTGAGATTGGTCAATAGAGACAGGACAATCCTCTTGCAACACAATGTTCAACCACATGTCACACAAACAACTCTGCTCAAACTACAGAAGCTGGATTTGGAAATTCTCTGTCATCCACCGTATTCACCAGACCTTGCACCAACTGACTACCACTTCTTCCAGGCTTTGGACCACTTCTTGCAAGGAAAAATATTCAATTCTCAACAAGCTGTGGAAAATGCCTTTTGCAATTTCATCACCACTTGCTTTTCAGGCTTCTTCATTGCTGTCATGAACAAGCTACCGTTAAGATGGCAAAACTGTGTTGATGGTTTAGGCACATACATTCATTGATTGTACTGCTTCTTGTGTGAGATATAATAAACTACACTTTTGATTTGAAGTCAGGCATTTCATATTTAATGACCTAAATATATAATCTGCCGTGTGCGACAAATTTTCCATTTATTTTGTTGCCTATCCACACAGCTTATGGTAGCTTTTACCATATCTAGACTTTTAAGTTTATTATGGACATCGTGACTATCTTTTCCTTCTTTTAGGTTCCCTTAGTTAAAATGACCTCCCTTCTCCCCTTGATTTTTTCGGCTATCTTGAAGGTTCATCAGATTTAACACATCCTGAATTACTCTCATCTTGGTGGCTCCCCACCAAACTTGCTATATTTCACTATTTCTTATTTCAATAAATGCCATCATGATTTTGCCAGTTTTAGCTTGAGTCAGAAACCTGGGAGATCCAAAGCCTGTTTCCACTACACCGCCTAGTCTCATGGAACCAGATACATAAAGATGTGGAAGCATAAAGATGTGTGTTGTCTGGAAGCAAAATTTATTTGCAAATACTTTTGTAGGTTTTTTTTTTTTTTTATAGGAAGGTCTTTTACAGACTACTTCGAGTAACTGATCTAGCTCTGGACCTTTACCCTCAAAAATAAACATACACATGAACTTTTGCATACTACTTGAGGAGGTTTATTGAAACCAGGCTGAATAAGGAACCATGCTGAAGGAAGTGTTGGGAATGAATGGGTAGACACTATTCTCTAGGATAGAGTTTGGCTTTTTTCTGGTGGGAAAGTGAAGGCATTATAAAGACTATATATATATATTTAACTTACCTAT